TAACAGCAGGCTCTGACCTTGTTCCCTCTAGAAGCCACTCTCTTAGGAGCCTGAGGTCCCGATTCCAGAGTCCTGGCAGAGGGCCTCTGCTTTTGTTCAAAGCCCTAACAGTTCAGAGAAACCCACCCAAGAGAGCAAGTCAAGTTGAAAACATGGCCACAGACCACATGATTGCCAGAGCTTGCAGTGAAGGTGACCTGTCTGATTGCTGGGTTGGTGGGTGTCATTTTTTTTTTTTTTGTAACATTTATTTTTTAGTTTTCGGCAGACACAACGTCTTTGTTTGTATGGTTTGTATGTGGTGCTGAGGATCGAACCCGGSCCGCATGCATGCCAGGCGAGAGCACTACCGCTTGAGCCACATCCCCAGCCCGGTGGGTGTCATTTATGTACACATACAGTGTGTAGAATCTTGCTCACATGCATATCTGGGTGCTGCTCTTCTGTGGCTGCCATGGTCACAGGATAGCCAGTTTTGAGGTGCATGTGCTAGATGTCTCCCTCACCTTTCTTGGAGATGTCCTTCCATATATTTTGTGGGCAGGTCACCTCACAACTATGTGGATTTGTCTGACAGCATAGATCTGAAATAAGCCTTGGCCAGCAGTGGAGCCGTTTTGTCGTGCCCTCTTTCCTGGGGTTCACACAGACCTGGTGCAGGTGGACACGGATGGTGTAGGCCTCAGCTGTGCTCGCAGGAGGCAGCAGGGTGCAGACGCGCCTGTCAAGGGCGTCTGGCCTTCTTGCCACTCTGTACAAATCCATCAGCAGATAAGAGCTTCTGAAGGTCCTTTCCCAGTCTCGCTCACTTTGACAGATGTCTGGGGAGCCCTGCATGTGACTCTGCAGTGGGAGGAGGCCATTAGGGCCAGGGAGGAGGTAGGATGGGTGCGTTGGAAGGTGGTGCTTCCGACTGGCTGGTGGATGCTGGGAAAACTGGGTGTGCCTGTTTCTGAGAAGGACTTCCTACACACTGTTAACCCAAGCGTAGGTCACAGAAAAGAAGGTGGGTTAGGGCGAGCAGATGACTGGGATGCATTAACTGAATTTCTGAGAATTAAATGCTGGGAGCATATTACAAGAGTGACATGGAACCTAATAGATGACTACAATGTAGATGTTGGATGAGAATTTACCTCTTGAGATTTGAATCACACTGAAGGGCCCTTATCCACTCATTGCAAAGGTATTTATGGAGAAACCTTTGAATTCTGAGACGTCATCCCCTTATCTCCTGGGTTTGTTTAAAACAGCGTACCCCTTCTCATTTGGAGAAGCTGTATTTGTATTCATCTGAACAAAGAACCTCCCAGGGTAGGAACTGGAAGTGGGCTCACCTGAGGGACAGCAATGAGATACATTAGGCTTAAAGGACCTTAGTTCTTTATTTCAGAGATGGAGGCAGCAGCTCTTCTGATCTCTCCATCAAGTCTGTCTGTATTGCCCAGAGAGGACTGTGAATATGTTGGAATCAGCATGTGGATCATGAATAAGAATAAGAAGCAATAGCTAGGCATGGTGCACTTCTGTAATCCCACCATCTTGGGAGGCAGTAGGATTGCAAATTCACAGCCAGCCTCAGCAACTAAGTGAAGCCCTAAGCGAAGCATCAGCGTCTAAGGAGAAGTTTCTGAGATTTGCCAGAATTACCAAGAAAAGCCTCCCCCTCCCCCCAGCAGGGGTAGATCTATCACTCTAAGGAAGCAGAAGATAGGGTGAAGATTCTGAGGAGCCCTGGGGTGATTTGGGGTTTGGGGGTTTTGTGTGTGTATGTGGTATGGGATTGAACCCAGGGATGCTTACTACCGAGCTATACCCAGTTCTTTTTATTTTTTACTGTGAGACAGGGTCTTGCTAAGTTGCTGAGGCTGGCCTCATACTTGTGATCATCCTCCAAGTAGCTGAGGTTACGAATGTGCATCACCATGCGCAGCTTGCAGAGGTGTAGGTGGCTCTGCGGCTGCATTTACCCAAGCCCTCTTAGTGTGAGGGATCACCGTCTGGGGTCAGCTAGCCCACTTGGTGGAGTCTCAGGTGGCAGTAGCAAGGTCTCCTGTGCCTGTGGGGTTGCATGAGCTCTTCCCATGGCCACAGACCACACTCATATCTAATCACCTCCCAAGATAGAGTTAGGCTCTAATCACCTCCCAAGATAGAGTTAGGCTCTAACCATAAACTGTCACCTCTGCTGGGCCATCTTCCTTCTCACTGGAACCTGCCAGTGGGAGCCTGGTGTATCCATTCCTCCCCCACAGCCTGTTGCTGCTCCCACATCTGAGAAAACATCCCAACTTTCTAGGCCTGATGACGGGGTTTCTCCGGTTGAGCCAGCCATATCATATTCGGACAATCTGGCCCTTCGGGGGTCTCCTGCTGAGGCCAGGATAAACTCAAGATTGTGGGAAGTCTAGCACAGTGCCGCAGATCAGGGGTAGACAGTATTCAACAGTGCATGGTAGGGCTTGGTGTGTTTGTTGACTGTTTTGTTTTTGCAGTATTGGCGTTTGAATCCAGGAGTACTCTACCACCAAGCTACACCTTCACTTTTTTTTATTTTTTAGTTTAAGACAGGGCCTAAACCACCCAGGCTGGTCTCGATCTTGTAGTCTTCCTGCCTCAGCCTCCTGAGCAGCTGGGATTACAGGAAGGTACCACTGTACCTTGCTAATGGTTGTTTTTTAACTAACTCTTGGTTATTACTTCCCCTCTAAACAGACAGCTACAGACAGTTCTTCTAATTCTTCTCAGAAGAGGGAACAGCCTACTCGGACAATCTCCTCTCCCACATCCTGTGAGCACCGGAGGATTTATACTCTCGACCCATACCCCACGGACCATTACCACCCTGACCAGGTGAGCGCCAGTCTCATTCCCTGAGATCACCAGGACATGTCCCCTTTCCACTCCTGCTCAGCTAAATGTCCCAAGCCTAGGCCTCCTGTGTTCAACTTTGTACCCCCACCCAGTACTGAAGGTTTTGATGGTAACAACTCAGCTTAGAGATTTCATGTGCCAAACATCTTGCCCCACACCCTTTGTGTGCTTTGTTTGGTTTAATCCTCTGAAGCCTAGTTCATAGATGAGGCAGGGGTAGGGACGTGAGGTACCTGATGGAAGGCCATTCAGCCCACGTTTGTCTCCACCCAGAGGGCCACAAGGCCTCTGTGTTCCTCTGTCTGGAGGGTCTCCGGCTTGCTGGGAAAGCGTGAAGCTAAAGAATGGCACACACCTGTAAGCCCAGCAACTTGAGAGGCTGAGGCAGGAGGATAGCAAGTTCAAGGCCAGCTTTATTGCCTTAGCAAGACCCTGTCTCAAAAAATGAAAAGGACTTGGGGGGTGGCCCAGTGGTAGAGTGCCTTTAAATTCAGAATCCCCCGTACCAAGAAAAAGAATGCTGCTCACTTGGCTTGAGCTCCCTGGCATGGCGGGCTGCAGGCCCAGTCTTGCTCAAGGGAGATGGAGCTGGAGTCTGGAATTTAATAATTCAACAAATATTTACAGAGCGGCTGCTTTGTGGAGGAGGTTCCCAAGTAGTGGGGCGTGGACTGGTGCCCATGTAAGGTAACAGGGCCACCACACTGTTTAGAAATGAAAAGAAAGGAGCACAGGGCAAGTGAGTTTTTTAACATAAAGTTAGATTTGTTTGAATCTTTTTTTTTTCATAGTTGTAGATGGACAGAATGCCTTTATTTTATTTGTTGTTTTTTTTTTAATATGGTGCTGAGGATAGAACCCAGAGCCTCACGCATGCAAGCGCTTTGCCACTGAGCTACAGCCCCAGCCGTTGTTTGAATCTTTTTAGAAAGATTTTATTGTATGCTTTCTAATATTTTGACTTTAAAATGTGCTTTTTTAAAAAATCACTTTATGGTAGCAGTAGATGGAAATGGACTTTTTACACGATTTGTTCAAAAATCCTTCCAGTTTGTGATTTTCCAGATTCTTACAAATTGATGTAGAGACTGACAGGAAGTAGGGCAAAACTGGTTAGCCACGGCCCCTGCCCTCAAAGCACTCAGGATCTAGTGGAAAGTGATAGGTAAATCTGTTACCATCTGAGTTCTGGAGCAGTATTATAATGACAATGATGGCAACAGGTATCAGGCATCCTGTTTGTCAGGCACTGAGCTGATCCTCTACCTAGGTTATTCCTATTCATTTTCCCAACAGGCCCATGTGTGTTACGTGTGTATACATATATAAAATATATATACACATATATATACATATATATAATATATGTATACACACATAACACACATTATATTTCCTGTATATATACCTACATACATATACACTATATATGTATATAAACTACACACACACACACACACACACTTTATTTCCTAGTATCCCCTATTGCTCTCTTGTGAACATGAGCCAGGTGCAAAATGCATCTTATATGGTGACCCAGTTTGTTCTGGGTTTTTTGTTTTTGGTTTTTTGTTTTGGTTTTTGTTTTGGTTTTGTTTTCTGGTGGGGAGAGGTACCAGGGGCACTGCACCACTGAGCCACACCCCCATCCCTATTTTTGAATTTTAGAGACAGGGTCTCAGTGAGTTAGTTGCTTAGTGCCTCGCCCAGTTTGCACATTTTGTACATACATAAGGAAGTTACCCTTAAAACATGCAGTATATGCCAACATCCTTATTTCTTTTCTTTTTTTTTTTTTTTTTTTTAAGAACCAGTCTTATGAAAGATCATGCTGTACAAAACCAGGCAAAACTAAAGTAAACTGTCAGACATCATCCCCATGTGCCACTGCCTGAGGAGGTTAGGTGGAGGAGACAGGTCCTGTTCCACCTGTTGCCGTGGGAGTATTGGGCTTCTGAATATTCAGACTGTTCTGTTGTGATTGCACCCTTTCCTGTATGGTCTTACTTCAAAAAGAAAAGAAAATGCTGGTCCCTACCTGTTTAATCAATTTTCCCAGTAATGGATTAAGACTCATAATTTGAAATACTTCTTTGATCAACAAGATGTTAAATAATTACAGAAGGGTGCTCACCTCAGCAGCATATATACTAAAGTTAGAAGGACACAGAGAAGATTAGCATGGCCCTTGCACAAGGGTGACAAGCAAATTCGTGAAGCGTCCATATTTAAAAAATAATAATTACAGAAGGGGTCGATTTCTTTAAGAAAGGCCTTGGACCACCAATGAAACTCCATACCATGTACAACCACAAGAATGGGATCCTGATTAGAATAAGTTATACTCCATGTATGTACCTGTGTCAGAATACAATCTACTGTCATGTGTATCTAAAAAGAACAAATTTAACCATTTAAAAAGAGAGGCCTTGGTTGGGGTTAAAGGTGCATTTTGGAGGATTGGGGAGGGAATTTTTGTTATATTTATTTATTTATTCATTCATTCATTCATTCATTTTCTTTATCTGGTGCTGAGGATGGAATCCAGGGCTTTGTGCATGCTAGGCGAGAGCTCTACCGCTGATCCACAACCTCAGCCCCAGGGGAGGGAGTTTTTATGGATTGGGGTGGCGGGGTGAGGGGGTTGGTTTTCCTTTTCTTGCTTGTTTTTGGCCACTGATGTCTGTTTTCCCTGGGCAGCGGATGCCAAGGCCCTACCCGCAGGTGAGCTTCCCAGACGACGACGAGGAGATTGTGCGCATCAACCCGCGGGAGAAGATCTGGATGACCGGGTACGAGGACTACCGGCACGCGCCGGTCAGGGGCAAATACCTGGACACCTTGGAGGACGCGGACTCCTACGTGCGCTTCGCCACCAAGGGCGAGGTCCCCAAGCACGACTACAACTACCCCTACGTGGACTCGTCAGACTTTGGCCTCGGGGAGGACCCCAAAGGCCGCGGGGGCAGCGTGATCAAGACGCAGCCCTTGCGGGGCAAGTCCCGGCGGCGAAAGGAGGATGGCGAGCGCTCCCGGTGCGTGTACTGCAGGGACATGTTCAACCACGAGGAGAACCGGAGGGGCCACTGTCAGGACGCGCCCGACTCCGTGAGAACTTGCATCCGCCGGGTGAGCTGTATGTGGTGTGCGGACAGCATGCTCTATCACTGTATGTCGGACCCCGAGGGAGACTATACAGACCCCTGCTCGTGCGACACTAGCGACGAGAAGTTTTGCCTCCGGTGGATGGCTCTTATTGCCTTGTCTTTCTTGGCCCCCTGTATGTGCTGTTACCTGCCCCTTCGGGCCTGCTACCACTGCGGAGTGATGTGCAGGTGCTGCGGCGGGAAGCACAAAGCAGCCGCGTGACTCCGGTCCCCTCTCCTCCCCCTCCTCCATCCACAACCACACGGGAACTTCTGTATCTTCCACACTCATCTTCTCCCCTGCTCCCTTCCACTCCAAGGGGCGAGGAGAGCAAGAGGCCTCCCAGCCCCCTGGTCCCTTGAGGCACCATTCCAGCCTGGGGCACCTGTGCGGTGGACTCTCCACTCCCCAGCACCCACTGCGACAGCCACACACCCATTCACACGCTCGCCCAGTGTTCTAAGGGAAAGAAACCTTCTGCATAGACTCTTCGTGTTATTACCAACCTGTAATCATGCTAACGTCTTATCCATGTTGATTCCTGTCTCTCCTCCCAGCCTCTTCCAGTTTGAATGAGTCTGCGGTGGAAACGGCTGGTTGGGGGTGGGGTTTGTAGTTCTTTTTACCAGGGGCACCGAAGCCTGTCTCTCAGTCTGGCTAGCCTGGTTGCTAGCAAGCGTCAGGTTCCTGTGGAAACGTGCTGTCAGTGCTGAAACCCGACCAGAAGTGTTCTCACCTGCAGTCAGCTGTCGTGTATAGGAGGTGAGCTAGTTAACAATCTTGTACCACAAAACAATGTCGCTTTAACTTTTCTAAAGCCAAATTTCCCATGTAAGCTGCAGTTTCTCTCCTTAGCCCATTGTCATTTCTGCCCTCCCCCCCACCAAATCTGTTGAATTTATTCACTGATGCAAAACATTCACCTATAAAATGACTGAGAATTGAGCCTTAATTTCAGATTAACTTGTGAGAATCAGGAAAAATTCCTTAAACTGCATCACAGCCTCTTGGACCAGGGCTAGAAAGGGGATTTCAGGTCTCTATGAACCTCCCCAGTTCACCCCTTAAGATGGAACTTTTTAAAATTGTGTTGCCACCACTTCTGAAAACTTAGCAATATTAGAATAAGATGTTAGTGAAGTAAGAGATTTTGCTCATTATTTTGCAAACCTAATAGCCTATTCAAAACAAACCAGTGTTCTTCAAGGAACACTAAAGTTGTGAATAAAACCATAGGAGCTCCCCCCAGCCCCAGCAACTTTTTTCTATCAAACGGGGGCGATTTTAAATGTCATAATCGAAGAGTGGTGGGTTGCATTTTTGTTTGTGGGTTTATGTTTTTGTTTTCATTTTGGACTCAATTTCACATCACCAGATTCTTCATTTATACTTGGGAAAAAACAAGGCCATATGTAAAAACCCTTCTGATGCCTAAGTGTCTTCTCCTGCAACTCCACACCCAGACTTGCCACTTTGGGTGCATAGATGGTTAGGTCAGCCGACTTGAGTCTGCCTGTCACCTTGCCGTGCAGGAGGCTTCTAATTAGCTGAAAAAGAGTATTTTTCTAATATATTGCAAAGAATAGCCAAATCTTCTTATTGAAGAAAGAAGAAAAGTGAACAGTGGTTACCTGTACCTAGCATAGTACAATCAGAACCTCGCGGAGAACACAGGGACCAGGCTTGTCGATGCTGGCTGTTCTTCCTGCCACCATCTTCCCATGGTAATTGCCAGCAGAGGGCACAGCCTGGTCCCACTCTCCTCCCTCTCCCCCTCCCTTCTTTATTGCACACAGGACAACAGTCTTCAAGGAAAGGGACTTTCTTCCAGTCTGCCATTCGTACTGGGAAAGTGCTAGCCATGCTTACCTTCATGGGAGTGCTATCAGCTCGCCTGAGAGCCCGCCATGCTTCTTTTAGACAGATCATCAGTGTAAATACCCAGTGTGCTTATGAGTTAGTTGGTAGACGTTTTCATTTGTTGGAATGACTAGTTGGGGCTTTCCAGTGTGGAAAAGGAGCAGAGAGCTGTCCGTCTGTATCAATGGAAGGAAAGAGAACCCCTTCCCTGCCAGGAGAGCATCTAGCCAGCCTCCAATGCTGTGGAGAGACCATCTGCCCCAGCCTGAGGTGTCGCCTCGAGGCCTTTCTCTAAGGTCGCCTCTCTGCAAAGCACAACACTAATCTACTTTCGTCAGACCTCAGTTCAAGTGCCCCTATTTATTTCAGTGAAAACACACACACACACATCCCGGATGCTTTGTTTGTCACCTCTATTTAGTTCATTACTTGTTCTCTCTTCCCTTACCCCTTGCTGGTTTTCCCCACTTTTCAAGAGTTATGCTAGTGAATCTTGCACGCATATCCTTTTTGGTTTGCAAAGGCAGCGGTTAAGGGCACAAAGACAGCCATGGGGACATTTATGTAAATACGGCTCTCCAATTGCCACACTGCAGCTGAACAGTGTGCAGTATTTTCCCAGTCAGCTTTGCCATACTGACGTCAATCATTTGAGAGAAATTATTCAGATTTTTATTTTTGTATCTGTGGTAACAAAAACATTAACCAAAAGATTTTCTGTTCAGAAGCTTCCCCGGCCCTCCCCCAAGCTATTTGCTCACATTAACAAATTAAAGTGCCTGAAGCATAATTCATTCTTTACCTGTATACTAAAAATCCTGTTGTATTGATTTTTTTATAATAAGCCTTTTTACCTCTGTGTAAAAAAAATATATATACAAGTGTATGATGTACATTTTAGTTCTTAACTTTTTTTTATGGTTTCTAATATGTATGACCAATGTAGCCATTGCTTTAAAATGTACCATGTAAATATAAACACATTCTACCAGATGGCTGGCTTTGGGGTGTCTGTCTGCCTGGAAATGGGGTGTCTGTTGAGCCTCAGCAGACCTGGGAGTTCTCCCACACAGGATGGGATGGAGTTTCCTTTGCAGAAGGACATGTGGACACCGAGCTGTTTTTGTGAGGCCCTTCCAGCCTAAGGTTATGTCATATTCCCAAGGGGAGACTGCAGCTCCGTGGGCTCCAATGCCTCAAGTGAAAGGAATGCTCCGTGTCACCGCCCGGGAAACACCCCCTCTTCCTAGGCCTGCTTCCCCACAAGATCTCCTCAGAGGGAACAGCTGTACTTCCTCCGAGTTGTTTTCCACCAGTTCCTGCTAAACCTCAGGGGTACGAATGTGTGTGTGTCTGTGTGTGTGTGTGTGTGTGTGTGTGTGTGTGGTTTGGAAGACCATTTCTCACAGAAGACAGTTGTTAAAACTGCATGACCCTGGGTCTCCTCGGAGCAGCGTTCTTGGCTCTTTGCCTTTCCAAATGGACTCTTTGGATGCTCAAAAGCTGTAGTGATGATTCCCCCGGAGGAAATAAAGCTTGAGGTCTTTTGAGGGTCACAAAGGAAAAGTTTCAACTCCTTCTCTAGAGAAACAAGAAGGGTCCCTAAAAAGAAATATAGAGGGCCCCTCCGTCTTATTTTTAACTCTTCCCTGAAGGGGTGGCTTTTCCAAGCCACCTGGGCAAAGGTAAAAAGCAAAGATTCTAGAAATTGGGGTGTGAGAAAAATCTGGAAGGCTCCTCCAGAGCTGGAGCAGGGAAAGTGTCCTAAAATCATCCTTGACCCTCTCCCTTCCTTCCCATTATCCCTGGTATACAGTTGAGGAACTGAAGTTGGGAATGAGTAACAAAGGTGACCTTCCATCAGGAGAGGCAGGGATTGAGCCGGCCTGGCTGCGGAGTCCAGGCCCCTATAGAGCCTCACCCCAGGCTTCTGCTTCCATCCTTCTTGCCCAAGGGTTTGAAAGTGAGCTGCAGCCAGAACCCTAGCCCTCCACCACTCGGGCTGCCTTAGGAAGAGCTCGTCTTTGGTGCCCATTGCCCAATGCCAGAAAATAGGCCTCTCCACAAGTCATCTTCAGCCTTCCACTTCACCTGTGAGGAGGAAGCCCATGTACAGGAATGACGCAGTCAAGGTCACTGGACAGTCTGCCGCTGCAAGCCAGTAGCCCTTGAGCAAGTGATATCACCCTCCCGAGTTTCTTCTGGTATAACTTACTGGACCCACAA